CAATCTTAAAACTTAAATTCTACAGTTCATGCACATTCACGACAATTTTTGACATGGGAACTGCATTTGGTGCAGCTTGGTGGTAGTGCACTTGCTGTTTTCTGGAGGAACATGCCTATTCCGGCCGACGACAAAGATGACTTCAAGGAGTAAACTACAAGTCAAGCCCCCTACCTACCATGCAGCTGAGTTCAAATAAGAAGCTCTCTAGTTTCTATCACTCTCTCAGTTTAGTTATCTCCATTCAGTGCTAGGTCACCCCATTATCATATCAGGAAGTAGAAGTTTTCGGGTGGTTTGAGGTTAGTTCATTATGAACTTAAGTAGAAGTAAGGATGAATTATGTTCTGTGGTGTGTAAAGTGAATGCCCTCCATTTGATTGTCCAGTAAGTTGAAGTGGTACACCATTGATTTCAGTTCCCAGAGTTCCCCTTTTCCCCTCAGCTTTACAAAGAAGGCATTCCTTTCATCTTTTACTCCTGAATCTGATTGCTCTTTGAATCTTTTTATTCTTTACCCATAGGTAAGAAGTTAAAAAAAGCTTTACTGCTTTTCTCATCCTTTTGCAGTACAATGCAAACTGCAACCCCCATATTCATATCTTCTTCTTCTTCTTCTTCCTCCACATAATGGCAAAAGTGAGGCAGAGATTCTGACATCTACTGAACTCTGCAGATGTCCTTATCAAGATAAATGTCACCCTAAACATGGGAAAGGCCAAAAATTTCCAGCCCTACATCTTCTAATAAGTATATTACAGGGTAAGTCAACGTTTTTGCTCTCCCCCCTCCTAACTTTGGCCATCCCAAAACAGAGAGCACATTTCCTCCTATGCTGCTGGTGCTGGAGAAGTAGGGGTCTCACTGGATGATTAAATTCCCAAACTATTATATCTGATGTTACAAAATTATCACTCCATGCATCCAATGACTGTGTCGACTCAAATCGCGCGATTCAACTATTAATGGTTGTTAGGATCAGAAAAAATACTCAGAAAAGTTTCTTCTAGTTATTACCATTAAGGTCCAAGGTTGATAGCAAAAATTGTATCGTAAATTAGGCTTCATATTTGATAATTCGTTTTTACGCGACCACGACGATATCCAAACATATATAGAGAGAGGAGTGCATATCAGAGTTTTGCCACCTCAGCCACTGAGAAGCAGCCCCTATTTTATGGAGGGGTATTTTTGACCAAATATATAACTATATCAAAACCTCATCTTACCAGTTCTTGGGCCGGATAATTAGGCCCGCTAAGAGAAACAGACACCAAAAAATTGATGCTGATCCTCCTAACATTCCAACTCCCATACACATTTATACAGTCAGCAACTCAAAAGCACCCCTTGATTTGATTTTTGGAAGGCCACTGAATGTGTATATATGATTTTTGCCAATTCAGCAGCTCAAAAGCACCGTATAATATGTGGAGGGGTATACCTGAAAAACCATACATTAATAAGTTGGTTATAGGCCATATAATAGAGAAAATGAATAGATGATTATTTATTGGGTTAATATATTTGTTTGGCCTGACCTTTTTTACATATCTTAAGATACTGATAAATTCATTTGGTATTTAACATTGTGGTCCGAACTAATCTTACATTTTACTAATTTGGCCAAACCCGAGAGTTGACCGTTAGTTTTGACGGTAGAGATCGTTGACTAATGGTCAGCCCGCCACATCAAACTTTAAAAAAAATCCAAAATTCCACATAATTTCTAATTTTTTTTTTATGGTTAAATCAAAATTGCATTAAAACCCGACACCAATAGCAAATCGCTATGGAGCCCTCACAAACTGACAGTCCCTGTACATCAAACCCAAATGGTAATCACAAAACAAAAGATAGTTACCTATCTAACCCAAGCCCCCTATCGATAAAACAGTCAATCAAATTCTGATTCAAAAGGCATCTCCCTCGAATGATTCTCCGAGCAACAGTCTGCAGCTGCAGAGGACCCCTTGCCGCAGCAGAACCATACATCCTTGCACATTTCTCCCTCCACACAAGACTAATTAAAACACTCCAACACATTATGTTAAGGGAATTCACAGTGGTATTGTCATTCCACTTTTGCACACACCAAGTCAACATAGAACCCCAGCTATCAAGTACAGGAGGCGAGGCTACCCCCAGCACCCGACTATATAAGTGCTGTATATAAGAACAGTGAACAAACAGATGATCCCGAGTCTCCACACCTCCAGGGCACATCAGACAGCACCCAGACAGTGGTTTACCCCATGCAATAAGTTTGTCCTGAAGCTTAAGCTTATCATTTATCACCAACCACGCAATGAACCCATGTCGAGGAATAATATGCTTATCCCAAACCAAATGAAACCAATTGACCTCAATCTCTTTCTGCCTTAATGAATCCCACACCCTCGAAACAGAGTAGGGGCACTTAACCAAACCATCCCACTGCAACTCAGAATTGACCACAGAGATATGAGGCCTCACCAACTGGCTACATTTTAGTAGCCTCTTCCACACCAAATTCCCTGCTGCACTCTCCTTCAAGTCACATATAGATGATTGTTTTATTCTATATCTTGTGACCCACGCAACCCAAATAGATCCCTCTGCTGCCAGGAGTGCCCAAAGGTGCCTGCAAACACAAGCTTTGTTCCAGATGGAGAAATTCCTTATACCCAACCCTCCTTCCTTTTTAGGCCTTGCAATAAATTGCCAGGCAGCCACTGCTCTTTTCCTCAGTGAGTTGTCATCAATGTCCCACAGAAAATGGCTACAAATAGCCTCCAATTCTTTTATGACATATTTTGGTAACAAGAAAATCCCCATCGAGTACTGTAGCACACTTGTAAGAACTGAATTAATCAGTTGAAGTCTACCTGCAAAACTGAGGTATTTGGATCTCCAACTAGTAATTTTCCCTGTTATCTTTCCAATCAGCACCCTGGCCTCAGCCTTAGTAAGCTTCCCAGTAAGCAAAGGAACTCCCAAATACCTAACAGGCAAAGTACTATTGGGAAACTTAGAATACTCAGAAATTATAACCCTTTCCTCTACTGGAATGCCTCCACAAAATAACTGGCACTTATCAGGATTGCATCTCAGACCTGATATAGAATAAAAAGCATCCAACACACGACAAATTCCAGCAACTCCTCTAATAGATCCATTTGTAAACACCAACAAATCATCTGCAAAGCAGAGATGAGTGATGGCCAATGGCTTGCACCTAGGGTGGAATGGAATCTGGTTTTGATCTGCTGCTAGTTTCAACATACCATCTAAGACTTCCATTGCTATTGTGAAAAGGTATGTGGACAGGGGATCCCCCTGCCTTAGACCTTTAGCCATATCAAATGATCCACAGATCCCACCATTAAGACAAACACTGATTCGAGGAGACTGAATACAGGCTTTCAACCAATCTATAAATTGCTTAGGCAACCCCTTACTCTCAAGCACAGAAAATAGAAAAAGCCAACTAACCGAGTCAAAAGCTTTCATTATGTCAATTTTTATTGCACAACGAGGGGTAATATTCTTCCTATGATAATCCTTAACCAGTTCAGCCGCTAGGAGAATATTATCACTGATAGACCTACAGATTGAGACTTAGAAGCATATTGAGACTTAGAAATGAGCAGAGGAAGAACAGTAGCTAACCTATTTGCCAGTACCTTTGATATACCCTTGTAGATAGTATTACAGCAAGAGATGGGTCGAAAATCCTTCATTCGTTCAGCATTTGTAACCTTTGCCACCAGAGTAAAAAGAGTAGAGTTAATTGCCCTTGGCATCACCCCTGTTTGGAAGAAATTAAGAGCCACTTCCTCAACAAGAGAGCCAATCAAGTCCCAATGGAGCCTGAAGAATTCAGAGGGGAATCCATCAGGTCCAGGCGCCTTATCCCTCCCTAAACTGAAGAAAACGTCCTTAATCTCCTGCCTTGTGATAGGAAGAATCATAGAATTTGCCATTTCTGGTGTAAGACACTTGAGCTTCAACTGCTGATAGAAACTTGTTGGCTGAAGCTGCACTTCTTGATTGACTGTGCCAATCAATTTAGCAATTTCTAAAAAATTATTATCATTGAAACAAAAATTAAAAATTGAGAAGCTTAAATTCCCAAGGATTCTACCGCAGGCAATTTTAAGTCAACCTCCAAACCCTCAATTATTTCCATATTTTCTTTTTACTTTAATTTAGAAATATTTTTTATTTTTTTATGTAAAATTTAGAAAAAAAATTATGCTCACTGTAGAGTGATTTGACAAATATATTAACCCTTATTTATTATAATTGGCCTTCTGACCTCACATGCCCATCGCTAATAATGAAAAGGTCGATAGAGGTAGAGGAAGAGGAAGAGGAAGAGGGAGAGAGAGGGAGAGAGGAGAATGGGGAGGGAGACAAAGAGAGCATAGGAAGGTGGTTGAGTGAGTTTTTTTTTTAAGTTTATTATATATTGAATTTATTAAAGAGATATTTATAAATATATCTTATATTTCAGTGATAAAAATTAAATTCTTTTATCTCATAGATATATCTTTTATGTCTAATACACATTAAATAGGTTGGATTTCGATTTCACAATTGCATTGTAAATTAACTTTAATTTAATTTGTTGTAAAATTTAAGTCAATATAACGACCTGTTGTCAGGTTGTATCCATAAGTATGATGATAAAACTCACCCGACCAATTGGTCGGGCAATGAGATGCAACAGTTGCATTCCAATAGGTGGAAAAAAGAGGTCATGATAGGGTTGTTTTAAAAACTCAATACAATTTTAATTTACATTATCGAACCGCCATGAAAAAGTTATATTCACCAGACTGGAATAAAGGGGAATAGGCAAATGACTCTCATGGCATCAATGTTTCAAGTTTCAACCATAAATAGAATAACCACAACTTGACAAATGGTGAAGCATTTCGTAAAAACAGAAACAGGCCAAAGGACACCCTAAAGCATGATATATACCGTAAATGAAACAACCACAACCTGGCCAACTGGCCGGGCAATTTACTAGTAAATCAATAGAGAATTTAAGGTCGACATTATTCAACTCCAGGTTTTAATCCTCTGCTTCCGTCCGATGCAAGGCTTGTCAGGCGGGAAAATGTTAAGCAACAAAAATAAGAATTAAGAAACAAAAGAAGAATAAAACGGCGCCGTAATTGGGATCCGTTATGGCAGAAGAAAAAAGGCGCTAATTTTAGCAGGAAAAGGAAGAAAAAAAGGCGCTAAATGATTCATCCCAAAAAACAGAGGAAAATTGCAGTCGCACCGGCTATAAAAGGATTCAGCCACGGAGGCTCCTTCCAGTTTCATTTCTTGTCCCGCAAGATTACTAACCGTCTTCGAACTGGGGTGTGAGAGAGAGAGAGAAATAGAGGAGCGAGAAGGAGAGTTGACGGGGAATTTTCTGTTTCTTCGGGTGGTGTGTATAGGAATTCTTGTCCTCTCAAAACTGAAAAAAGCTTCATTTGTCCCGAAATCAACGACGACGGTTCTCTTCTTCTTCTGGGCTAGTCGCCATTCTTGCTGGGTTGCATTCAAGGAATCTCCATTCTTTCGTTTTCTTCTCATTCCCGCGGATTTTCTCGCCACTGTTTCATCTGCTAGCCGTCATCATGTCTCAGACGAACTTCGATGCTGATAGAATGTACGTGCTTTCTCTTCCTTTTCCTTTTCCTTCTCCGTCTCCGTCTTCTTTCATGGAGTTCGTTGCTATATTTGGTGTGCCGTCGGTTTCCTGAAGTGGGTTCTTGGTTCATTGCCGCTTTGGAGCAAGAAATGATGGGGGCGATTCTTGGAATAGGGCTTTCCTGGTTGTGTTTGCATTGGGAGATTGTCTTGTCTTTTGGAAATGGGCATGCCATGGTTTCTTGTGGGGTTTGCTGCTCGTTTCTCACTTTATTTTCTTTTAACTGAGGATGAGATACTGTTGTGTTTACGCAATTTCTCCCTGGATTTTTGGCTGGATTGGGTCAGTCTTCTACTCTACGTGCTCATTGAGTGGAATTCCCCTGTTTTCTGGTTCTTTTAGTGCTCTTTTAGGTTGAGACTTTTAGTGCTTTCACTGTGGTTTTCTGGCTACTACTGTGACCTTTTACTCGTCCTTTTCGAAACTCTATCTTCCAAAGTGGTCCAGTTTCCCTTTTGCTATACCTAGCCGTTCTTGATTCTTCACATGTTATGCCTCTTTCGTGCATAAAAAATGGAAATGGCGGCAGAAAGTTGGATGCTTTGGCATTTCTAACTTGTACTGTTCTTGGAGAAGCTTGTGCTTTCTTATGGTGGTTGCCATGTTACGTTATTCTTCCTACGGTTTTGACCTATGGGTTCTTTTCAGGCTGGAGGTCTATATATATGATTACCTTGTGAAGAGGAAATTGCATGCTTCTGCAAAGGCATTCCAAGCTGAAACCAAAGTGCCTACCGCTCCTGCTGGTAAGGAAAGAACGGGGAAGATTTTCGGGCATAAAAAGAAAGAGAAAGCTTGTTTAGAACTTGGTCGACTGGTATCACTTGAGTTCTTTCTTTCTTTTTGGCTTAATGTACCTTCAGCCATAATTTTCTGTTTTCTCCAACTCCAGCTATCGAAGCACCTGGTGGTTTTTTGCTGGAATGGTGGTCTGTGTTCTGGGACGTCTTCGTTGCAAGGACAAATGAAACGCAGCAGCAGCAGCAACAACAACAGCAGCAGCAGCAACAACAACAGCAGCAGCAGCAACAACAGCAGCAGCAGCAGCAACAACAACAGCAGCACCAGCTGCAGAGAAGAGACGGCGGCCATAATCCAAATGCAGCTGCAAATTCATCGCTTGCTGGTAATGATGCTCCAAGATACACATCTCCAACTGCCAGTGCTATGGCGACAAAATTGTACGAGGATAAGCTGAAGCATCCACTTCAGAGAGACTCCTTGGAGGATGCAGCTATGAAGGTGCTTTGGCTTTTGTGACAGATTCAACACGAGCATTCTTTGCCTTTCACCATTCCTTCTATAAATGCTAACAATTAATTGCTGAAACAGCAAAGTATGAGCGATAGCATGAACCAGCCTATGGATCCAAGTAATGCAGCATTGCTGAAAGCAGCTGGATTGGGAGGCCAGCCTCAAGGGTAATTCTTGTCCTGCTTTGTTCGATTATTGGGTGTTTAGAGTTCAGCTTTTGAAATCACTCTTGTACATATACTTGGGCAGTCAAACTATGCATGGTTCAGCTGGAAATAGGGGAAATCTGCAACATTCTGAGAACCGAAATCAGCAACTACCTATGTCCTCTCAGGTGCATCTCACTTTTTATGTTGTTCTTTTCGACATTTGTGTGCTTCCGATTCAAGCAATATATATTTTCTCATGCTACAGGACATAAACAATGAGATGAGTACAATGATGATTCCTTGGTCTTCTGGTGCAGAAGGAATGTCAGTTGGAGTTCATGGTATTTAATATTTAGTGCTCCCTCTATCTGTTAAATTGTTATTATTGTAGTTATAGCTGGAATAGTGAGTGCTAACTCCAGTGTCTGTGGCGTATGGCTTAAACTTCATGTCATTCCAGTGGAGATACTAAACCACAACTATCTTCTTGTTTTGTTTATTTAGGGCTGAATCAAGGCGGAAGCAATTTGCCACTGGAAGGATGGCCCTTAACTGTAAGACTTACTCATATCATAAACTTCTTATAATCTCATACACATCTTCATGTGAAGTCTTCTACAAATATGATATGTTGCATTGAAAAAACGTTTTTGGAAGCACATTCTTATGTTAGAGCTATGCAGAGCAAACCAATCTGATTGGTGACCTTGTTAGGGGCAGGATCAATTTGGTCTTCTTCAGCATCAAAGGTTGATGCAAAGTCCTCAGCAGCTCGACTTACAACAACAACTGATCTTTCAAGCACAGCAAAATCTATCGTCGCCATCTATCAATGATCTAGAACAGAGAAAATTAAGAATGCTTCCCAGTAACCAGAATATGGGTGTTTCTAAGGAAGGGCCATTAAGTTCAGGTGACATGCTTAGTAACATTGGATCACCAATGCAAGTTGGTTCCCATGGAATGCCACGAGACACGGATATTCTAGTCAAGGTACTGTTCTGAAGTCAAGTGTGAATGTGTGGAGAATCTTGGTTGTTTCCCAGAAAATGTTGAGCCTTCTAAGCTTCCTGATGCCTTTTCTTTCCCACTTATACTGGGTACTGATCTGTCAGTTACAGCAGCAACAACTTCAAGACAACAACCAGCAACTGTACCCGCGACTCCCACTTTCAAGTCAACAGGCACAAAATTCAAATCCCTTGCTGCTGCAGCAGCAGCAGCAGCAGGACAGAATGATTGGTTCAGGTGGCATTACTGCAGATGGTAGCATGTCAAACACCTTTCACAGAACAGACCAGGTTGGATTACTTGTTTACTACAGTTCCTATTGCTTGGAAAAAATTTACTAGTAGTTGGATGCGAAATTACAGCTTTGTGCTATTGAATTTACTTTATCTGTCATTCTGTCTCTACTTAGAGCCCATTCTTACCCTCTTACTACCTTGTAATACATCTTCTACTCCAGAATTTGTGGTATGGTTCAGTAAAACTGAAACAAATGATTGCACAAGGAAGTATGTCAACAGTTTCTAGTTTTGTTCTATTTTCGCCTGTTGCCCTTTTAGTCCTTTTATACGCTTCGCATGGACTATGTGTGACACTTGGGTTCTGGATTTCATGTTCCAGTGTCACTATTGAGAGTACAGAATCATGCTATTAACATAGTGAACCTAATTATTTGTTCAAGGTTTCTAAACGAAAGAGAAAGAAGCATGTGTCTTTTTCTGCAAACACCACTGGCCCATCCCCAACTTCTCGTTCTACACCTGGAGATGCTATGTTGCTGCCTACCGCACCACAAAATCCTAATTCCTCAAATGATTGGGTGAGCATTTCCCCCTTTACAGTAGTCCACTTCAGTTAATTTTTGCGATGAAAGAACTATACCATGTGGGCATTCTATTGCACGCTCCATCTAATTACTCTTCTATAGAGCTGCAATTTGGAATCAGAAAATTGCACTTGGCCCTTGAACGTTGGTATGTTATTGCAGGCTGATATGGATATGATTCTAAATGACCAAACTCTGGATGATAATGTCGAATCTTTCTTTTCGCATGATTCTGGCGATCCAAGGGACAGAGTTGGTCTGTCTACTGATGTCACTAAAGGTAAGTCTAAGGCTAAAGTATTTTTATGTATAAAAGACACACATGTTCTCAGTTTGCCTGCACTATAGTATGTGGAAATGCAATAGTACAATGCCAGATCAGAGTTACTAGGGGTTCTTACATTACTTTCTGATCCTAGGAAACAAATTTTCGGAGATCCGGGTCCTGCCAGCCAGCACAAGTAAAGTTGAATGCTGTCACTTCTCATCAAATGGAAAGCTGCTTGCTACTGGCGGACATGACAAAAAAGTAAATTTTGACAAATTTAAGTCAATCTCCCCTTTAAATAGTCATATTAAAGATGGAGGATTTTGTTTGATGAATGATGATATACTGCAGGTGACACTTTGGAGCACAGAATCTTTCACAGTAAATTCTGGACTTGAAGAACATTCACAGTGGATTACTGATGTCCGTTTCAGCCCAAGCATGTCGAGACTTGCTACATCTTCTGCTGACAGAACTGTTAGAATTTGGGATGCTGATAATGTAAAGTGACCTTGATTAGCTCTCTGCCACTCCACATTTGCTTTCGTTCTTGCATTTGACCATTAGAAAACAGTGTCTATCCCCTTACTATTGGGTTTTCTTTCTCTTGTGTACTTGGTATTCTACTAATACAGCATTCAACTCTTCATCTCTTACAATTTGCAGCCAGGCTACTCACTTCGGACCTTCACAGGACATTCTGCAAGTGTCATGTCAGTTGATTTCCACCCTACTAAAGAGGACCTTTTATGTTCTTGTGATGGTAATAATGAGATGCGCTACTGGAGTATCATGAACGGCAGTTGTGCTGGAGTTGTCAAGGTAAACTCTGTTACTTCAAATGTCCAAATTTATATTGTCAGGTAATTTAAGTTAATCCAGGTCGCTCCTCTTATTCCTTCTGTTTAGAATGCTATGAAGATGAGATTTCAACCTCGCCATGGAAGGCTCCTTGCAGCAATGGCTGAAAATTTGGTTTACATACTGGATGTCGAAACTCAAGTTGGGAAACTCGAATTACAGGTTTGACACCTCTCTCTCCTTCAGTTCAATGGTTAGCGACCCCAGGTTTATGTTGAGAGATGCTACTGATAATGGTCTTGTTTAAGTCGTGGATTCCTAGTCTTGATGGGTAATTCTGCAAATATTGTTGCTTGCTGCTATAGGGTCATAAAAGCCCAGTTAACTCTGTTTGTTGGGATCCATCTGGCGAGTTTCTTGCATCTGTGAGTGACGAATTGGTACGAGTCTGGAAAATTAGCTCTGCCAGCAAAGGACATTGTATTCGCGAGCTAAACCACTCAGGAAACAGGTTCAACACCTGTGTTTTTCACCCAACCCATCCATCAGTCTTGATCATCGGATGTTACCAGGTGATAATTTATCCCCCCTTTCTCCCCTTGTTTGATTATGACTGCAAAGTCTCGTCCTTTTAACATCATCGTATAACCTGACTGACGAGGTTTTCACTTTGGGTCTGTTGCATTGCAGACTCTGGAGCTGTGGGACATGGCTGAAAACAAGACGATGACCATTCAAGCACACGCGCAAAAGGTTTCCGCCTTGGCAGTATCAAGCGACAATGGCTTGGTAGCTACAGCGAGCCACGACATGGTTGTCAAGCTCTGGAAGTGATCTCTTGGTAGAGACTTGTTACTCCTAACCTTATAGCTAATAGTGTAACACCTTTCTTGTGGTAGAAGGGAGCTTTCTGGGACTTGGTACGTCCCCATTTTTTGTCCATTCTAACGTAATCCTGTAGAAAGACTCCCAATTTTTTGGATCTTCTGATCTTTCTCCCGAAGTAGGATTACTCATCATGTACATCACACTACTATATACATCAACATCATCAGTGATAGATATCAATGAGAAACTGCAAAGAAAATTTGCAGCCATTTTTTGTTCAATCATAACTGCCTGCATCTATCTGCAATGAAGAGTGCCTCACATTTGATGAACTCCAATGCCCTGTTGAAATACTTGCCTTTCGCATCAAGGTACTCTTTCCACGTCACAGGCTGGTAGAGCAGTGGATGGTCCACGTCGACCAGCTTCATTGGTGGCGATATCTTCACCTCCTGTGGCGTGCCGTAGAAGTAAGCCATGGAGACGCGATGACGTGTCATGTTCACCACCGCTCGATGCAGGGCGGTCTTGAACCGCCCGTTGGTGGCGATGTGCATCAGGTCGCCGACGTTGACGGTGAGCGCGCCTGGGATCGGGTTCACCGGGATCCAGAGGTTGCCGCCGTCGCCGGAGATTTGGAGGCCGGTGGCGTTGCTGCTCTGGTGGAGGAGAGTGATGAGGGATGAGTCCGTGTGCGGGGCCAGGCCCATCGCGTGGGCCGGGTCGGGGCAGGCCGGGTAGGAGTTGAGTTGGAGTACGGCCTGTGGTGGGTGGTGATTGGTTTTGGAGTGGAGCCATTTGATGTCGTCTTGGGCTAGGCCCAATGACTTGAACATTAGGCCGAGGAGCTTCTCTGATAGGGCTTTCATTTGGGCTTGGTACTCTTCCATAACGTTGCTGCGGAAAAACAAAGCCCAACAAGGAAAATTAAATGATTTTTAATCGGTCACAATTACCACGCAATCATTCCTATCAACGGTGGATGCTTTGGTATACATTTGCGAGGAATAAAATTCAGGATTTTGAATCACATGAAGAGCCTTTTGAACTGAGACTTTGGTGGTTGAGGGGATTTTCAGGGTCTATTTTGAGGAAAATGCCATATCTTTCATTTCAACGGCGACGGTGGAAGAAGAGGGTAGTGGAGAAACCATATTTAGCTATCCTAACTTTAGTTAACTAGTTTATATAGTTCAAGTGGTTGAAGTGTTAGGATTTTTTAGCTTATGTAAAAAAATAATTTATGTTCGAATCGAACCACAGTCTTGTCACAAAAAAATAACTTTTAATAAATTAAATATAATTATCGTTAGTAACTGTATAACTCAATTAGTACGATATGTTAACTTTGGTCCAAACCCACATAATTTTTTGTTTGGATATTCACTGATGAAGGCATTGCACTGATTGAGCTACTTGAACACTAATATACAAAACTTCATTTCATTGTATAACCGATGTGATAGTTTGATTGTACCAAGTTGGGGAAAAGATACCAAAATCCTTCTTGGTTGACGTGTCAATCGTATACACAATGCAAATGTACAGTGTACACTGCGTAGTAGTACTCCTTTGCTTTGTCTTTTGTTTTGTTTCGTTTCTTTGATTTGGGTGAGACAGAATATTAATTGTAAGTGAACTTCACTTTTCATTTATATCCTGGATATGCATAATCTACTGGAGTGATTGAGCGTGAAGACTGTAAACCATAATGTCGTAACATTTAAACATATTAATATTTGTATTATCTTCGTAATGATTATATATAACCAAATTAATTGTTGATATAATTAAACCCCATAATAACAACGTACCAGAAATTGGCGTAATCATTCGGCCAGAGCTGCCTCGCATGCCTTACAGGCGAACCCATGATCGTAAACCCTTCGTACCACATTTGCTTGGCAAAAAACCTCGAAATCCGTGCGAGCCCGTACCCGTCGATCCCGTCAGGCGAACGGACCACGGCTAGCTTCTCCTCCGCCGGCAGCGCAAACAGCCTCCTGGCCTGGAACTCGGCCTCGCGGAGAAGGGTGGCCGGAATCCCGTGGTTGGTGACCTGGAACACTCCCCATTCATCGCTGGCCTTCCTCACCGCCGACGCGACTGCATGCGGTGGCCGGCCGAGGTCCACCACCGGGATGGTGGCGGACGGCGGTGGCGGTTGGACGGGGGAAGTAGGCCACGTGTGGGAGTCGGGGAGGCTGAGGAGGTTGCGGAGGTCGAGTGGGAGGATTTGGGTGGTTGGGATCGGGTTGGTTTTGAACGACTCGGAGATTGAACTTTTGTTGACGATGATGCTCATTTTTCGTACGTGAAGGGAGGAAAAGGTAATGAGATTACACTACTCTTGAGTTTTTTGTTTGTTTGTGTTTTGGTGTTTGTAGTGTTAATGGTGAGACTTATATAGAGGGAAAAGAAGGGGTTGAGACTTTGAGAGGGTGTAGGTATAGACGTGGCTACCTAGGGCATTTGTCTTGTAGGCAATCAATAGATCAACACTCTTTGGTTAATGAAAAGGTTTGAAGTTTTCACAGATTTGAGTATTAATAAATGTGTTTGTCGGCATTCAAACACAAGACATCTCAGTTATCCAAGGTTTTGATACCCAAATGAACAAATTATATAAATATTGTAATGAGTGATCTTAAATTGTTAGAAAGACCTAATACTAAAACATGTAAGAAGGAGATCCTCTCGTTGGATAAGTACCATCCAGACTATACTATGTTAATCAAATCCATGTCTTACTGTCTCAGTGTCTCTTGCTCGTGGATTTTGTGGATAAAATTGTCAATCTTCCCGATGCATATAATACAGTCGAGAAGGTTGAAACTTTGGTTTGTGTCTTTAATGAGTATTCTCTTCGGATAACAGATGTATCCTTCGAGGGAGATAATGTGTTGTATAACGTATTGAACGACGAAAATATCTCGTAATTTTCATGTTACGAGAAAGTTGCAGTAACCGATACATTATCGTATATGAGCATGATTGAACCACATGTCTAACAATACAATCTCATTCAACACGTATATGGAAGTCCAACACTTCAATCATTTCGAGTACGATTTGTGGCGCTCTTAAGATTATGACTTGGACATAACATATGATATTGACACAAGCTAGCAATCTAGCTAGCTAGTGGAGTAGCAATAACTAGAGTACAAAATAATTTTCTCGAGCTGCCTGTTGGCTGAGAGTTTTGACTGTTTGTATTATTAGGAAGGAGAGCTAGAAGCGGCGATCCCTCTGCTTTCGCTGTGCGGTTTGACCCTTTTGTCTTCATTCTCGCCACGATACATGCCCTTGTTCCTTTCACCAGAGATCGCTTTCCCCAGATGGGTACGTGCATGCAAATTGTACGATGGGAAAATATGCAGTTTGTTTCCTTTCGTATTTTGGTCGTTTCTGAGATTACTGTCTTGTCTTCTGTCTTGTTGTAGCAGGTGTTGGTGTTCTTGAGGGTTTGTCACTTTCGGAGGTAAATAGGACGAGTTAGCATCCTTGGGAACCAGCAAGCTAGCTATAGCGATTTAACCACTCGATCGACACTTGCTTGCTCTAGTACGTTGCATATATGCCAACAAAAATTCGAACTAATACGTAGTCATGTAATACGACAGAGTTTGAAATCATCCTGATCGAGCAACTAGCTAGCTAGGTGTAAGAAACCCGCTTCTTAGGGCTTCTAGGGATTGATCTTCGGAACGCTTTACTACTCGTAACAAATAGGGATTTAGGGTTGAGAACAGGAATTAGAGATTTAGATGAGAAAGAACAGAATAGATAAAGAATCGGCCGAGACCTTGGATTAGGAGAGAATAGAAAGTAGGAGTTGAGAGGATAAACTAGGGTTTAAGAGATTCTTCTTGATTGATTATGACGTAAACCCAAACTACATATTTATAGGGAAATACTGGAAAACCCTAATAATAATCATAATACGACTAAATCTCTACTAAGCATAATAATAATTATTCTACTAATAAATAATAAGAGAAACCCCAATGGGCGGGTTTCTGACAATCCACCCCTCTTGAAAGCAACCTTGCCCTTAAGGTTGCAGTTGACATCCACCTCCTTGACCTTCCGCTTTCTCCGTTTCCAGTTGCGCTCCAGCATGCGAAGGACTTCGACAGCTCGCGCTTTCTTAAACTCATCTCGAACCACGTGACACATGACATGTTCTCCATAGCCGAACAATTCACCCTCTGCCTTCTCGAAATCCACAAAATAAGAATCGGGGAAATGTTCTTCTTTCCGCTCCCACTCGAAATCTTCAAGGAAATGATACATAAATTCCACCATGGACTTGGTGGGGATGATAAGCTCTTTTTGGCTCCACTTTCCTCCAAGTTGGATTGAATTAAGCCCAACGTTTAATCCAACGACCCCACTTCCTTGTTCCTTCCTATTTTGTTCCTGCAAAATGAATCTAACAGAAAAGCTCATTGGTGGCCCAAGTCTTCCTTGAAAACTCGGCCCACCTTCTTTACTCAAGAGGCAAAAGATGAATTAAGGGGTCGTTTGGAAGTTGTGATTGTTTTGTTGAAATTGTCATTATGCATGTATTGTTTACAATACATCATTTTTTTGTTTTTTAGCAGAAACAATACATGAATTGTTTCTATGATGTGACAGAAACTATCACTCATTTTGAGTGATTGTTATATCTCAACTTTTAGTTGTGATTGTTGAGATAATTGAGTTGAGATTGTTTTGTCTCAGCTTTTAGCTATGCGACATACACAATCACACATACCAAACGTTGTATTCTACAATGCATCAAATTCGACAATACATGTATAATATTATACATGCATTCTCAACAATACATCTATTTAACAATCGCAACTTCCAAACGACCCCTAAGTTTCCATCCCACTTCGGCCCAAGGAGAGTCCAAACCTCGGCCCGTCTCGCTTGTCCACCTGGCCCAACACAAACCCTCCTTGCATATCTTCTCGGCCCGCTGGGAGCCCAACTTGAGCTCCTTTGTTTTCCTCCACTCCAAGAGCTGGCCCATCTGAACACCCGACCCGATTTATTAGGCCCACTAACTCTGGCTGGTCAGAAGAGACGGCCCAAGACCTACCTCTGGTTTGGCCCGATCTCTCACCTGCTACGACCCTAGGGTTTGCTAGAGAGTAGACGCGGCTGCCGTCATCATTCTTAGAACCCTTTTTCGCAGGCTCCCAAACCCGTCGATTGCCCGGAAGCCATGAGTCTGGCGACGATCTCATGGAACGACGACCATCACCTTCTTTCTTCTTCGGCGACATCCTAGGGTTGGAGAGAAGACCGCCATCCTTCTTCCTCGCCTCTTCCCTTCTTAATTGATAAAATGTCGGGTTAGTGGTGCTGAAGGATTGGGAGATGAAGAAAAGCTTGCAATGTAATGGAGATTTGGATTATTGTGAGGGTGGTGGGAACAAACTACAAGCTAATTAGGAGGGTGGAAGATATCGTTGATGGAAGGAGTTGGACGCCAACGTGCGAAAGAGGAAGATACGAGGAAGCGAATGGAAATAAATTGAGGGTTAACTATCAGGTTGGGGTTGTGTTGTTCATTATGTTGGGTTGGGGAAAGTAAATTTGACTCGGTTCATGGGCATAACCCAACTTGACCGGCCTAATTTTGATCCAATTGATATGAACTTTGAAATCGTACAAATCGTAGATTTTATGGATTTTAGAGTTTTAAATCGGGATTTTATGGGATTTTAAGGTTCAAAGATTTTACAGTAAAATCAGGATCGGAACCCATAGGTAATATCGTAAAATCGTAAGATTTTAAGATTAAAATCAGGATTTTGACTACATTAAGCACGGGTTCAGGGTCGATTGGACGAAGTTGGGACATTTGACGAAAAGCTGGAAATTCCACACGACCGTGTGACTTGCCGGGTGGAACCCCTTTGCGCGGGCAAGCCACACTGGCCTTGTAAATGGCCCATTTTGGCCGTGTGGAATTCCCAGAGAGTTCACACAGGAATACATAAATTCCACACGGCCGTGTGGTTTTGGCCATGTAGCGTACCTGGAGTCACTAAATCGAACGCGGCATTTTGGAGAGCCACATGGGCAGACCTAAATTTTACATGGTAGTGTGGCCTGGCCGCGTCGTCGCAGAATTCTGGGTTTTAACCCAATTTTCGGTCTTTTGAATGGGGAATCAATTTTCAGAGCTAGAAACAGAGTCCTAGAGAGAGAAAGTGCGAAGAACACACCATAGAGGTGATTTTGGAGCTAGGTTTCATCAATCAAGCTTGGATTTCATCCTTGGAGTGAAGATTATCATCCCAGATCAGATTCTTCCCATCTTGCAGAACAAGCTCCCGCAGAAGCGGAAGGACCCAGGTAATTTTACTATCCCGTGCTCTATTGGTAATTTGCATGTAGAGAGGTCCTTGGCGGAATTAGGCGTTATTATCAATGTTATACCATATAAATTGTTTAAGAAACTAGGCCTAGGTGAACCCAGTGCAACTAGGATAAGTATTCAATTAGCTGACCGATCTATAGTTCATCCGAGGGGCATAGTGGAAGACCTCATAGTTAAGGTTGGCAGATTCTTTTATCCTGTGGATTTTGTTGTCTTGGACATCAATGAAGACGCAGGATTGCCCCTTTTCTAGGTAGGCCTTTCCTAGCCACCGCAAAGGCTCTCATAAATGTGCATGATGGGACCCTGACTTTGAGAGATGGCGAGGAGCAGATAACATTTTCCATTACTAATAATATGAATGTTATCTCACATGTGCATGCTTTATCTCACCAGGTACACGAGGCTGTGTGTCTCCCATTTTGCAGGACTTTGCACCCCCTCCTCCTCCACCGCCCCCGCTTTCAGTTACCAACAGAGTGGATTAAGGAGGAGTGGCGGCCGAAACTGCAGGTAGCTAAGGCTGCTTGAAAGAAAGGTAGAGACCACTATGAGCTGGTCCCGGCTCCTAAGCCACGACCGCCTTAGCCATCCGAGTAGTCACTTGCTTGCATCCTGCCGGATGGCCAGGTCGAGTTGACAAGTGCTGGTGGTCACACCCTTCGTGTGCATGGCCACCATCTGAATTTCTACTTCAAGAGCGATGTGGATCCGCTCTTGGAGGCACCTGTTCCTACACCTCTATGAGCATCCACCCTATTGGCGTCCAGCTAAAAGATGGTAAATAAGCTCTTGTGGGAACCTGTTCCTACACCTCTATGAGCATCCACCCTATTGGCGTCCAGCTCCAATGTTTTGATGAGTCTAGCTCTGTGGACTATTCCATCGTTCCGTCTGTCCCTGGTGACTAATCCATTTCCAGTCTCCTGACAGTCCATTTTCCCGGTAAAATCGTTCCCCTTATCTTTCCCTCTGCTCTATTGAGGGCAATGTCGTGCTTAAATGTGGGGGGTGTTTATCTATCTTTAATTGCTTGATGAGTTTGTGCTTGGAGCCTAGTCCACTGTCCAATTTGATGAATTGAGGGCTCCAAGTACGGTTCCCTGCAATATCCTGCTCAATATGCTTTGAATTGACAGTCTTTATGGTCATATGCAACCTAGGGAGGTAGTGTAGCACTATGGAGGATGTTGATGCATTTAAGAAGTCTCCTTTCTTCTTCATATTGTGTTGGTTGATTGTGTGAATTAGTGATCTTAGGACCCTTGAATTGTGTGGTATTGTGGACTCTCTACCCGTCATGGACTCCTATATCATGTTTTGAAAAAAAAAAGTGCTCTATATTGTGCTTTTAAAATAACGTCTCACATGCGAAAAAGGTGAAAGTGTGTAAGGGGAGACGGGAATCCGTTCCCGATTTCCACCTACTACCTCCAACCCCCATACATTTCTTTCCCTCGCACGTGGCTCGAGACATCTGCTCCCGGCATGGCCGGTAAGAGCTGCTCCCGGCATGGCCAGTAAGAGTCGGGCTCCCACAAAACCTTTAATAGGTGGGAGCCCCGTTTTCTGGAAATAACAGGTTGGGACCCTTGAAAAAATAATAAACAACAAAACAAAGAAAAAATAAATAAGGGTTCCAGCCATCGTCAAGATGAAAATAGAGCACCTTAAAAAAAGTGAGTCTATGATCTTTATGTTTTTGAGAGTCCCTTCGTCCACGATTCATTTGTCCTCTGATCACTATTTGCCATGATGCCGACTCGAGACTAGAGTTCTCGCCAAAGAAGCTAGGAGGTGTCTTGTGCGTCGGTTGACCTCGTAAGCTGTTAAATGATCTAGAAAATCCTCTACCGACGATCGGGGACGATCGGAGGTGCATGTTGCTATAGAGGTCTGGAGAGCTGCATTGGTTTGGGTCAGGTTTGCTTGGGGACAAACAAACGGTTAAGTGTGGGGGAATTTGATGACTTGATATATACACATGTTTTTATCCACCATTCCACACGGCCGAGTGGTTTTGGCCGTTAAGCGTACCTGGAGTCACTAAATCGAACGCGGCATTTGGAGAGCCACACGGGCATACCTAAATTTCACACGACTGTGTGTCCTATCCGTGTAGCCGCGGAATTATAGGTTTTAACCCAATTTTGGGTCTTTTGAATGGGAATCGATTTTCAGAGCTAGAAACAAAGTCCTAGAGAGAGAAAGTGCGAAGAACACACCCTAGAGGTGATTTTGGAGCTGGGTTTCATCAATCAAACTTGGATTTCATCCTTGGAGTGAAGATTATCATCCCAGAGCAGATTCTTCCCATCTTGATGAGTATGACTGCTTTGTTTTCTGTTTTCCTCTCTCTCCCTATGGAGTAGAACCTTCTCTCACTTGGGTATATAGGTGTCAAAATATAGCCCAACCCGAGTAACCCGCCCGATCAACTCGATCCACAACCCGTTCGCAACCCGATTTGACTAAAAGTAAATGACCCATAACCCGACCAACCCACAATCCGAATGACCCATAACCCGACTGACCCGCAACTTGATCAACCCGCAACCCAACAGATCCGCAACCCGATCAACCCGTAACCCGACCAACCTATGACCCGACTAACCCAACCCGCAATCCGCCTGAGCCCGCCCGCTTAACCCGAATAATAAATGACACATGTATGATCGTTGAATAAAAGAAGGATTATTCTTTTGTTATAATTCCACTTTAATAGTTTTATTAAGTAAAAGAAGGGAAGATTATAATCCGTAAAAGAAAACGAGAGGGATTTATAGAAATTTTGTGTTGCTCGGCAAAATTGCACTGGGGTGCCACATTAATCGACAATTCCCGTCCAAGACTGTGATGAGAAAGTATATCCCTATTCTCAAATCATACTCTTGGCGAATAATAATAATAATCCCAAATCATATTTTTAACGAAAAGAGAATTTCTCTCATATAAGATTAATACTAATTATCTTGAGATAAATAACTGTGATTAAAATATCGTGACGCAAAAACAAAACAAAAAATTAGTGTTTGCCTCGGTGACCAGGCCATAGTCGACGACCATTTTCCTACCCTCCAACCAGCCCCTCTCTATTACTCGCTGACGGCTTCCTCTGCCCACAACAACTCGCCAGACGCCAAGCCAACAATCGTAACCCTTGCCAAAAAAAACGCACCCACAGTTCTTTGAAACTCAAAAATAATCAAAATAAAAATCAACAAATCTTCTTTCACAAACCTAGCAATCAAAATCAAAATACTACAAAGCTTCTTTCACATACATAGGCAATCAGAACCCCTGCTAGAAAATCCAAACCCCAAACCCCCCAATGGAAACCCCGTGGACCCCAGAAATTGCAACCCTCAAACCTAGCAACTAGAACCCTTTGAAACCCAGAAATTGGAGACCCCCAAATCCAAACCCATAAAATTGGAAACAAAGGGAAGCTAGGCGACGATGAGCCGAACAAGTCCCTGTCGCCGTTCTTGGTTTTGGAGTTAATTTTCGGACATAAGGGGGATTCTCGTACAAGCGAATGTGAGCTAGAAAAGTCTCTGTTGCCGTAAATCTCCTTCATCTTCCCCAAGATCGTTAACCATCACGTTCAATCTATAAAAATTCAACAAAAGAAATACCTAATTAGAATTTAGAACCAAAACAGCAAAAAAAAAAGAAAAACATAGAATATCACTTAATCAGAAATGAACGTCCTGAATTTTACCATCGAATTTGAAGGCACTGGTCATCATCCACCATCGTCTTATCCAATGTAGGGAAGGGACCTTCGCTTCCTTCTTTTCGGTCAGTGGCGACTGTGCGAGTTGAGTGGGGCTTTGTCGGAGGAATGGGCGTTCGGCGACTGTGAAGAGAGAAGAAGGAGGTGAGAGTCGAGGGTTGAGAAGAGGGGAACCTTGGTTCTCTGTTTTCATGACAGAGAGTGTGTGGCTGGATGAGTGGATGGTAAGAAGAAGGAAATCCAGATGGAAATAAATCAATTAAAAGGGGTGAGTCAGATTTTTTTTGGGGAAACTTTTCAATTGATTGAAGAATGGGGGAATTTGGGCGGGCGGTGGTCAAATTTTGGGCGCCAAGAGAATTTTGGGCAGTAAATGGACACGACTTAATCAGTTAATTTAATTGACATTGAACACTTTTTTTAGTAAGATATAAGGAGTGCTTGTATTTGTCTATAGACTAATGTCTATTTTTTATTCAAATCTTTTTCAAATTCTTTTATATTATTCAAATCTATTAAAATTCTATTAATTAGCCAAATTTTTTGTAATGCATCAAAATATGATTTATTTTCGTGTTATCGTTAATAATTTTGTAACTCTTTTCTTAGTTAAAATACTAAAAATTTAAAAAGTTGACCTTCATGTGTCTCTTCCAAGACAGTATCATGTTTCCAAATCAATATTACTAACAAAATTGCTAACTGGAAGTTGACATTTGGCTAATTCCTAGTATTTTGATTGGTTTGGTTGATAAATTTTTTTTAAGAAAAAGGTTTGGATAAAAATAGACATTACCCTTGTCTCTAAATAGTATAAGGTATTAATGGCCACGATTAGTCAATATCATAACTAATAACTAATAAGGATCAAGTTTTTTTATTAACGTATGTTCATGAATCAAACCATTAAGAGTTTAGGGTATAGACCATAGAGTCAACGTAGGCTATAAGGTATTAATGGTTTAGGCACGATTAGTCAACATCATTAACTAATACCTAATAAGGATAAAGTATTTTGTTGACATATATTCATGAACCAAACCATTAAGGGTTAAGGTAAAGACTATAGAGTCGGCGTATAAGATATATGTTTAGGTTTTAAGGTATTAGTGATTTAGTCACAATTAGTCAAAATCATAACTAATAAGGATCAAGTTTTTTTTTTATTAACATATGTTTATGAATTAGACCATTAGGGGTTTAGGGTATAGACTATAGAGTCGGTGTATAGGCCATAGGGTATATGGTTAGGTTTAATGGGTTAGAGTATAAGGTATTAATGGTTTAGCCAAGACAAATCAACGTCATAACTAATAACTAATAAGGATCAATTTTTTTTTATAAATGTATGTTCATGAATCAAACCGTTAAGGGTTTAGGGTATAGACTATAAAGTCAGAGTATAAGGTATTAATGGTTTAGCCACGGTTAGTCAATATCATTAATTGATACCTAAAAAGGATAAAGTTTTTTATTAACATATATGTTCATGAATCAAACCATTGAGGGTTTTGGGTAAAGACTATAGAGTCAGCGTATACGATATATGTTTAGGGTATAAGGTATTAATGGTTTAGCCACGATTAGTCAAAATCATAACTAATAAGGATCAAGTTTTTATTAACATATGTTCATGAATCATACTATTAGGGGTCTAGAGTAGAGACTATATCGTCGGATTATTAAATGAAATATGGGTATATGGGTTCACTATTCATAGTTTAGATTATATGTTAGTGAATAGAGTTACAATTGAAGTCATATCAATTTTACTAAATTTTATAGTTTATGGTAATACAATAAATCATACCAATAACTAACTAGCTAAAACAACAATTTCTCTATAAAAATGTATATGAACAATTCCACTTGTTTTTAAATAATAAAAAAATATGTATTAATTCAAAGTTCACTTCAAAAAATCGGTATAATACCATTCCCGATACACCCGCACGTAACCTGCCCAACGCGAAAATTCAACCCAAAGTAACTCGAAGCACTGAACCAAACAACCTGCAACCCAATCCGTCCGCAACCTGCCCGACCCGAAACCCGATGAACCCGCAACCCAATTTTCCTGCAACCCGATTGATCCCGAACCCGAACCTGACTAACCCGCAACCCGTTTGAATTCGAACCCGATTGGCCCACAACCTGATGAACCTGTAACCCGACTAACCCGCAACCCGATTGAACCCAGCCCGAACCCACCCGATTGACACCTATTGGGTATGAAGAACCCTAGTTCCATGTGTTAGGGATATCGATTGTAATGACGTTTGGATTGTGATACTGCTTGATTATAATCGATTGAAGTGTTTTGATTGAGTCAATTGAAGCCTGATAATCGTTTATTGATTTATGCTCCAACCTAAGATAGATAGAATCTAATTAGGTCGTTAGAGCTTCTTCAATCGGTAGTAGTGAATCGATTATGCGAGAGTTAGTCGATTCATTGCTTTGTACTGGAATCCATTCCAATAGTAAAGTTTTGTGTTAGTTGCCTCAGCGTTCTATCCCAGTGAAGACTAGTAATCTGCCGGGTAGTCTATCTGAGAGGGCTTGGTCAGCTTAAGAGATTCCAAGCTACCAGTCGTAGCCGGCAAGACCCGCCTCCGACTCGTCCACCTCCGACGTTTGCTTCATCGGTGGCGTTTTCTTCGGCGAATAGATCCTCCGACGAGAAGTCCCTCGCACTATTCGCGGCTGCGATGGTTCCATCTCTGCCTCGTTCTTCGGCGCCTCCAGATCTGGCGACGAGCCAATCATCCGACGCCTAGGAGGAATGCCAACTTCCTTCTCGCCTTCGCTTGTGCCTCTGATGACTTGATATATACACATGTTTTTATCCACCATTTCTATACCATTTGAGTCTCATCTCTCGTGTTTTAGGCCGATTTCACGCTAGGTTGTTCTTGTTTGTGATATTTCAGGTCCTAGTACGTGAAGGAAGGTTTGGGCACGAGTTCGGGGTCGATTGGACGAAGTTGGGACGTTTGACGAAAAGCTGGAAATTCCACACGGGCAGACCTAAATTCCACACGACCTTGTGACTTGGCCGTGTGGAACCCCTTTGCGCGGGAAAGCCACACTGGCCGTGTAAATGGCCCTTTTTGGCCGTGTGGAATTCCCAGGGAGTTCACACGGGCATACCTAAATTCCACACGGCCGTGTGGTTTTGGCCATGTAGCGTACCTGGAGTCACTAAATCGAACGCGGCATTTTGGAGAGCCACATGGGCATACCTAAATTTTACATGGTAGTGTGGCCTGGCCGTGTAGTCGCAGAATTATGGGTTTTAACCCAATTTCCGGTCTTTTGAATGGGGAATCAATTTTCAGAGCTAGAAACAGAGTACTAGAGAGAGAAAGTGTGAAGAACACACCATAGAGGTGATTTTGGAGCTAGGTTTCATCAAGGGTTATAGGTATAATATGCCCCTCTACTATGTAGTTTTATCAAACATGCCCCTAGACTATTTTTTATATCAAACATGCCCTTGTACTTTGAAAAAATGATCAAACATGCCCTTCTGTTAAAATTTCCATTAAAAAAATCGCCAACCATGGTTGAACCGAGATGTAGATGACCCGACATCGGCAAATGAGAGCGAAAATGTCAGTTTTGTTCCCCATTTTATTTTTCTAGGTCTCGTTAAAGTGAAATTATTAGAGGTATTTGGCTCTACAAAAGAACCCAAAAATTTTAAAAGTGAAATTACCAAGGATATTTTAGACATTTGTGTCGCCCAAACCAAGGTACGACCATGATTGATTGTTTTTGGATGAAATATTAACAGAAGGGCATGTTTGATCATTTTTCTAAAGTACAAGGGCATGTTTGATGTAAAAAATAGTAGAGGGGCATGTTTGATAAAACGACATAAGAGAGGGGCATATTATACCTATAACCCTTTCCTCAATCAAGCTTGGATTTCATCCTTGGAGTGAAGATTATCATCCCAGAGCAGATTCTTCCCATCTTGCAGGATAAGCTCCCGCAGAAGCGGAAGGACCCAGGTAGTTTTACTATCCCGTGCTCTATTGGTAATTTGTATGTAGGGAGGTCCTTGGCAGATTTAGACGTTAGTATCAATGTTATACCATATAAATTGTTTAAGAAACTAGCCCTAGGTGAACCCAGTGCAACTAGGATAAGTATTCAATTAGCTGACCGGTCTATAGTTCATCCAAGGGGCATAGTGGAAGACCTCCTAGTTAAGGTTGGCAGATTCTTTTATCCTGTGGATTTTGTTGTCTTGGACATCAATAAGGACACAGAATTTCCCCTTTTTCTAGGTAGGCCTTTCCTAGACACCACCAAGGTTCTCATAAATGTGCATGATGGGACCCTGACTTTGAGAGATGGCGAGGAGCAGATAACATTTTCCATTACTAATAATATGAATGTTATCTCGCCTGTGCATGCTTTATCTCACCAGGTACACGAGGCTGTCGAGTATCCTTCTGTGTCTCCCATTTTGCAGGACTTTGCACCCCCTCCTCCTCCACCGCCCCCGCTTTTAGTTACCAACAGAGCGGATTAAGGAGGAGTGGCGGCCGAAACTGCAGGTAGCTAAGCCTGCTCGAAAGAAAGCTAGAGACCACTATGAGTTGGTCCCGTCTCCTAAGGCACGACCGTCTTAGCCATCCGAGTAGTCACTTGCTTGCATCCTGCCGGATGGCCAGGTCGAGTTGACCAGTGCTGGTGGTCACACCCGTCGTGTGCATGGCCACCATCTGAATTTGTACTTCAAGAGCGATGTGGATCCGCTCTTGGAGGCACCTGTTCCTACACCTCTATGAGCATCCACCCTATTGGCGTCCAGCTAAAAGATGGTAAAGAAGCTCTTGTGGGCACCTGTTCCTACACCTCTATGAGCATCCACCCTATTGGCATCCAGCTCCGGTGTTTTGATGAGTCTAGCTCTGTGGCTGTTCCACCGTTCCGTCTGTCCCTGGTGAGTCTATGATCTTTCTGTTTTTGAGAGTCCCTTCGTCCACGATTCATTTGTCCTCTGATTACTATTTTCCATGATGCAGACTCGAGACTAGAGTTCTTGCCAAAGAAGCTAGGAGGTGTCTTGTGCGTCGGTTGACCTCGTAAGCTGTTAAATGATATAGGAAATCCTCTACCGACGATCGGGGACGATCGGGGGTGCATGTTTCTATAGAGGTCTGGAGAGCTGCATTGGTTTGGGTCAGGTTTCCTTGGGGACAAACAAACGGTTAAGTGTGGGGGAATTTGATGACTTGATATATACATCAGGCGGCGAGAAAGCAAGCTCGATCCGATGACTTTTGAGTCTTATTCCTCATGCTCTGTTGTAACCCCCTTTCTCGTCCCACTTTTCTTTCTAAATTTCTAGTTGTAGTCAATGACCTCATCTTTGCTGATATTCAGAACAGTCGGCGGCAGGATAGTAGCTATAGGATGATCTACCTCCGGACATTTTGTGGTACAGACTCGCCATCTCGGAGAAGTTGGAGTTTTGTACGACAACTTCTCATTGACGTCTTTTGTCGCGGTAATCCTCTCGATGGCCCTAGCGGTGATCTGCGTCGGTGCTGGTGGGTCGGCCGAAGCAAAGGAGATCACCTCCTTGTCTCGCCCGATGTTGTCTTCGAGCTTCATGCCTTCACCCATGCGTGCCACATCATCGTCTTCGTCGTCGTCCAACCAATCATCCTCATCTTCGTTCCAATCGCATGACGCCAGCTCCCCGAAAATTTTCTTATTTCTGCGAATCGCCTTCGATCAGCTTCCTTCCATTCGTGTTCTTGAGAACTCGACATGATTCTGATGTGGGTGCCTGTAACCAGGCTCGGATACCACTGTAAGAAACCCGCTTCTTAAGGCTTCTAGGGACTGATCTTCGGTACCCGTTACTACTCGTAACGAATAGGAATTTAGGGTTGAGAGAAGGAATTAGGGATTTAGATGAGAAAGAACAGAATAGATAAAGAATCGGCCGAGGCCTTGGATTAGGAGAGAATAGAAATTAGGAGTTGAGAGGATAAACTAGGGTTTAGGAGATTCTTCTTAATATTCTTCTTGATTGATTATGACATAAACCCAAAGTACATATTTATAGGGAAATACTGAAAAACCCTAATAATAATAATCCTAATACGACTAAATCTCTACTAACCATAATTATAATTATCCTACTAATAAATAATAAGAGCAACCGCAATGGGCGGGTTTCTGATACTAGGCAACTAGCTAGCTTTGCCAATAAGCAATTGATCATTGGAGAAGTGCATTGTAAGTGTGATTTTCAACGGATATAGAGAGAGATGTGATTTGAACGAGGAACACTTACACATACTCTTTGTCCAATACAATACATTCGTATACGTAGGTAGGCATTCATTGTAAGGCTACTTTTTATTCGGGGAAGAACAATAATTGACGGTGGGGAGGTGGCAAATTAATTTGGGTGGCGCCCATGTATATATAGAGCAACTCGGGAGTTACGCACCTATTGGATGACAATGTTCAACGATCGTCAAAGCATGTATATTGTATGTACCCGCACGCGTGATTTGACAGTTCCTGAACACATATGTGAAATGGTTATTACAAATGGGTTGTGAGCACCATAGAAAAATTGGTGTATAGAACAGATTATTCTAAGAAATTATACAATATTTAATATGGGTTTATACGAAGTATCAAAATATACTATTAGGTTTACAACATGGGCTAAACCGATATTTTTAGTTTGAGGGGACAAAAAATTCTTAGTAAAAATTACTAAGAAGGAAATGGACTGGAACCATTATTAAAACTCTTCAAACAATTCAAGTTATTGGGACAAACTAGTTATTTACATGGTATCATAGTCTTCTATGACCTAGAGGTCATCTGTTCGAATTTCGGTGGCCCCTATTGGTAAGCACGTGGTGTCATGTGTCAGTGAAAACTTTAAGCCTATATGAGTGGTTTTCGTTTGAGGAGCGTGTTAGTATGTGATATATGATACATTATTGAACCTATTCCAACTAATCGAGTTATTGGGACCAACTAGTTATAGAGGATTTTTTTTTCCAGAAATAGCACATTTAAAAAAAAATACAAAAATAGCACCCACCCGAAAATATTTACAAAAATAGCATCCTTTTTTATGGACCGCACCTCCAAGGTGCGTTTTATTATCCTGGGCCAAAACCGCATCTTGGCCATGCGGTTTCAGGTCTGACCTACATAAACCGCACGGACGAGGTGCGGTTTTGGCCCGACCTAGCAAAACCGCACCTTGGAGATGCGGTTTGCTTCTCCAAAACAAAACCGCATCCCCAAGGTGCGGTTTTGCCACACAAACCACACCCCCACAGTGCGGTTTGTGTGTCAATTATTTTCTGACACCCGACATATAGCCATGCAGAATAACAGACGTGGAGCTGCATGGCAGATGCAAATCGCATCTCTAAGGTGTGGTTTTCATAAGTGATTTTGCCTATAAAAGACTGCACGGAAAACCTCTTCTCTTCACACCTCTCCTTCTCCCTTTTCAATTTTCTGTTCTAGCTCTATATTTCTTTAGTGTTTTTGCAATTAACGTTAACTCGTAAGTTTATTCTGTATTACTTTTTATTGTTATTTGTGATTTGTGATTTTATGATATTAACTGAACTACAGTTTTTTTGCAGATGGCATTCCAAAAGTTCACGCTTGGCTTACGGTGGAATGGTTACACGAAAGAGACCGGAAAGGGAGTCACCTACGTCGGTGGCAATTTTCAGAAAATAAAGGTCGCTATCAGACCGCTGCTTGAAGACCTCTGATGACTTGATATATACACATGTTTTTGCCCACCATTCTTACATCGTTTGAGTCTTATCTCTCGTGTTTTAGGCCGATTTCACGCTAGGTTGTTCTTTTTTGTGATATTTTAGGTCCTAGTACGTGAATGAAGGTTTGGGAACGAGTTCGGGGTCGATTGGACGAAGATCGGACGTTTGGCGAGAAGCTGAGGAAGCCACACGGGCACGCCTAAAAATCCACACGGCCGTATGACCTGGCCGTGTGACATCAAATTGCACGGGCAAGCCACACTGCCCGTGTAAGGGAACCCATGTGGTCGTGTCGAAATCACCGAGCATTCACACGGGCATCCTGGAAATTCCACACGGCCGTGTGGTTTTGGCCGTGTAGCTTGGCTGAAGTCCACTTATCGAAACGCCGCGTTTTGCACACTCACACGGGCAGCTGGGAAAGCCACACGGCCGTGTGACTTGCCCGTGTGGTCGGGAATTTCTGGGTTTTAACCCAATTTCAAGCCAAAGGAGAGGGAATCGACGTTTTGGAGCAATAATAGAGCCCTAGAGAGAGAAAGTGCGAAGAACACCCCCTAAGAGTGGTTTTGGAGCTGGGTTTCATCAATCAAGCTTGGAAATCACCCTTGGAGCGAAGATCATCATCCCAGAGCAGATTCTTCCCATTTTTATGAGTATGACTGCTTTGTATTCTGTTTCCCTCTCTCTCTCTCTATGGAGTAGAACTTTCTCTCACTTGGGTTTGAAGAACCCTAGTTCCATGTGTTAGGGATCTTGATTGTAATGACTTGGGATTGTTATATTGTTTGGTTTTAATCGAATGATGCATGATTCATTGAATTAATTGAAGTCTAATCAGTTTTCTTGATTTCTGCGGCAACCTGAGATAGATAGAATCTGATTAGGTTGTTAGAGCTTCATCATTCGGTAGTAGTAGATTGGTTATACGAGAGTTAGTTAATCTACTGCTTTGTACTGGAATCCAATTCCATTAGTGGAGTTCTGTGTTCATAGCCTCAACTTTCTATCCCGGTGAAGACTAGTCGTCTGCCGGGTAGTTGGACTAAGAGGGCTTGGCCAGCTTAAGAGATTCCAAGCTACTGTCGGATCTTCCGCAGTTTAATCAATAGTAAATCAACCCAGGGTAATTACAACTGAGACCTAACTAAGGAGCTAGGGGGGACTCATTCCCGAGTGACTCTTCCTTTGCTTTAGAAAACCAAACAATTTCCTGCTTCCTTACTGCTTTTACTTAAATCAACAATCAATTGACTTAGTTTGCTAGATAATAAATATACACGGAGTAGGCAGTAGATCTAGACCCCGGGTTGACAATTAGAGCTTGCCTGTTACTGCATTTCCGGACTGCGATTACACTTGGTCGCAGTTTGGTGTTGTGTTTTAGCGTGCCAACCTCCATCAAATGTGCACTAACGTTACTTGCATGGATGGCACGAGAAGAGTTGATCGTATGGTGTACCGATATCCAAACAGAGAAAGTGGGTCATTGTGGCACGAGGAATATCTCATAACCACTCAGGATGAAGTAGATTCCATGCTCGAATTCTTGAGGTCCAACAATCTTTCCAAAGCCGAGATGTTCGTTTACACCGAGGCGGCCGTTGGCGTTGGAGGTCATTCTGGACACGATCAAACATCTGGTATCCATGGTGGAGGTGAATTATATGGCGATCATCCCTACCAAAGTTACCATGATCCTCATTCCTATTTTCAGTACCAAGAGCAAGGTGAAGGTCATCATCAATCTTTCCCATCATATGAAGAAGAAGTTCAACTAGACCTCCCCAACCAACCTCAGTACAACTTCCAATCAGGAAGCGGTAGTTTTCACAACTACCATTATAGAGCTGATGAAGGTGCCTTTCATGAGCTGGATCAGATGGAAGCTGCCCTACCAGCACCAGTTAGTGACCCCTCCGATGAAGAAGGAGAGAACAACGTCAGTGCAGACAGCTCCGACCCTCTTGAAGGTGCTGATGATTCAGGACAAGAGTCAAACTCAGATAATGATGCTGAGGTGGCTCGTGACCGTGTACCAGTCCCCTACTACAATCACATTTCATACGACAATTGGATGGTCGACAGCGACATGGAGCCGCCAGAGGTCCCAGTATGGGGTCCACTCATTGGGTTTATGAAGGGCCAACAATTTGGCTCAAAGAAGGAGGTGCGGCACGCCATTGAGACTGAAGCAATGACTCGGCATTTTGAATGGCACACAACTCATTCCAACACTAAAAGGCTCTTAGTTAGATGTCGTAATCATCATGAGGGGTGCAATGTTAGGATTCAGGCCATCAACAGCAAGAGACACAGCCACTGGGTCATATCCCGTGCGGTGAACACACACACATGTGTGTCATCCATAACTTCCCAAGGCCATCGACAGTTGAAATCCAGGGTGGTTGCTGTGGCTATCAAGCATCTAATTGAGCAAGATCCGGACCTGAAGGTGAAAGTCATAATCGCTGACATTGCAAGTCGTTATGGTTATATGATTAACTATAAGAAGGCGTGGCACGGAAAGCAGAAAGCTCTGGCCGCCGTCTTTGGTAATTGGGAAGAATCATATGCATTCCTTCCCAGGTTAATTTTGGCATTGGAGGTGTCTAACCCTGATACTGTTTTCTCCCCTCGATACCAAGATGAAAAGATACAACCCCCAGAGCCAGGTAACAAACGCCATTTCAGACGACTTTTTTGTGCATTCAAGCCATCTATTGATGGTTTTGGCTTCCGTGTCCCTGTGATCCAAGTGGATGGTGCATTCCTTACCGGCAAGTACAAGGGCACTCTCCTGATTGCCAGTGGGGCGGATGCAAACAGACAAGTCTTTCCTTTAGCCTTCACCATTGTTAAGGGAGAGAATGCTGATAGCTATGGATGGTTTTTCCGGCAAATTCAGCTCCACGTCACTAGGAGGACGAACCTGACAATAATCTATGATCGGCACGCCAACATCAGAGTTGCCATCTTAGGTTTAGATCCAGCCAGGAAGTGGTCCTAAAGGAGGTGCATACGACACTTCAAGAGAAACTGGAACCATCATTTCAAGCGGAAGAAGCTTGCTGATAATTTGTGGTGGATTGGTAAGCTCTCTAGTAGCCGTTTAATTTTCTCAGCTAACAATATCTTGTAATCAGGAGAGTGGTGCACTTGTTAGACTCTTTCTAAAGAGATGCATGCCTAAGGAATAGTTCCAAGTACATATAATTAAAATTCAACTCAAAATACATCTCAAGGAAGTCCACGAGCTTCACCGAAACTGACGGTTTTCTTGCTCCTTGTACGACGGCCGACGGGAGTCACAATAGGTGGTTCCGGTGGCAAGTTTCGAATGACCGAGGTAGTGTGGCACTCGTCGGTGCTATGTCGGCGGAGAGGCGGCGCTTCCAGGGTCGAGCGGGGGACATATGCGCTCAAACGGTGAGGAGTAGGAGGCCACGGCTGATGAGGGCGAGTCCATGGGGTGAATTCGTGGGGCGCCGTCGTGGAGGAACCATCATGCCAAGTACCTGATGATGTAGGGGGATCTTGGGGGTAGACCGGGCGAGAGTCGTAGTATTGTTGGCGGGGAGATGGGGGGTAGACCGGGAGAGAGTCGTAGTATTGTTGGCGGGGAGATGGGGGGTAGATCGGTCGGGAATCGTATGATGGTTGGCGGGGATCGTTGTATGAGATCGGGTTGGGATCATATGGGGATTGATGGTAGCTCGGAGGGGATTGATGGTAGGTCGAGCGGGGATCGTAGTATGAGCTTGGGTGGGGATCGTTGTGGATGGAGGGGCGGTGCTCTTGGGATGAACTCGGGCGGGGATCTTGGGCGGAACTCGGGCGGGGAGCTTGGGAGGAACTCGGGCCGGAACCATGTGTCACAAACAATGGGGCCGGCACTTTCCACGCTTGATATGGCGTTACGTCGGGCACGTTGGGCCTTTCCCGAACCCTCTTGCTCTTCTTTCTCTCGTATGGTGGTGGGGGATCGTGGACATCAACTTGTACCGGAGATGGCGGGGGTGCGGGCATGGGCGGATATCTACGATGATCCCGACCCTGAGCTATGATACAACCAAGAAGACTGGTTGCCATCCTCCTCATGAAGCTCACATCTTCGTTGCCCAGCTCAACTCTCCCGACGGTCATATCTTTGATCCGCTCAATCCCATCAGCCTAAATCACAAAAACAAAGTTAGAAATTTTTTTTGAACCAAGTAATAAATTTAATTGTTTAGACGGAATATACTTACCAATGCACCATCGGCCACACCCTCTGGAGTCATGTATCGAACCGATATTTGCCGATATCGATCCAAGTTGGGTCATGATACCCCATTCGACCCACTCGAGTTGGAGTGACAATATCCTGGCCTTGTCGGTTCTCCCACATCGTGATGAATTTCGCCAACTTCGTGGGCCAATCGTGAGTACCTTGCCGACCATCTCGGTGGTGAAAGGCCCTTTGACTATCGGGGACCTCCAACAGAATGCACTGCTCCCGACCAAACTGACGGAGGCATCGATCCGGCAAGTACCACTCCACGGTCCCAAAACAAATTAGAGGGACCCTCGTGCACCATTGCCCGATATGACCGGGGAATTGCTGGAGATGTCAATGAAAGATGTTCTCCGGGTATGGATCGAAGACGATCTACAAGAAAGAAATGAGTAACTTAAGTTTATCATAATTGGAAAAATACATGTACTCCATGAAAAAAAAAGATATAAAAGGATCGAAGTATAGAAGTTACCTCTCCTTCCCAAAGTCGCTCAAACCTCCTCCGATACTCGACCAACTTGTGTTGGGCAAGGTTGTCGCATGTTGTGTGTCCGAGCCACCTTATTAATAAGACAATAATGAAAATACAATAAGCTAAAACACAAGGGAAAATGTGTTATGAAAAACATGATGGGGTATGAGAAGTTTACCTTGTACCATAATTTTTACCTCTTAGGGGATGATCGATTGGCCAATCCCTGTCGGGACGTTGGACCGGTGCAATCCATGGCATATGCTCCCAAGCCCAAAATTGGACGATGAACATTTCCCGCCGACCTCCCTCACAGATTTTAGAGACGCATTGCACAAATTGTGGTAGATATTAGCTAGGCAAGCGGATGCCCAGCTAAACTCCCCCATCTCCTCCCAACTACCGAGGATGATCCTAAGCCATCCACAGCTAAGGAGATTGCTTGATTTTTTGGAGAAGAACACTCCTCTGATCATGCCTACGAGATAGACACGAGCATATCTTTCCTTCTCATCCTCCAGACTTTCCTCGGTTAGGGGATGAGTCTCGTAATGGTCTCTAAAATACTTCGTCAACCAAGTAATTGAGACTTGGTGTTTCCTCATTGGTGGCAAGCAATCGTTCGCATCAACGCTCCCCTTGACTGGTACTTTCACCCCCAAAACACTGTGGATGAAATGAACCCAACCGGGCATACCGTCACGATCCTCGGGGGGATGATCACTAGCGCACACCGGTTTGCCGTCGATGGGCAGATGGGTTAGGATGGCGACATCCTTTAGCATGATGGTGACCTCTCCTTCTCTAAAGTTGAAACAATGGGTCTCCTTCCTCCATCTCTCAGCTAATGCGGTGATGAGTTGGCGATCGACTTTGATGCCGTTAAAATGCCTAATCGGGTCCAACCGTGCCCTTTTGAGAAAGGACAAGATAGCTGGGTGGAATGGGAGCACATTGGTCGTACCCCTGTAGCGGAGTATTGTTTGTGCCTCCTAGCAAAAATTTACACGTTAATTATTATATATTAGTAAGGGTTTTTTCTTATAACTAAATTAATTAATTCAATTATTTAACTTCGAGCAGAATTTTATTATCATAAAAATACATTTCATATAATTAACATAATAACATTCTAAATCAATAATAATTTAAAGAGATACATACATATTATCATAAAACAAACATCCTAAATTAATTAACATAATAACATTCTAAATGAATAATAATTTAAAGAGATACATACATATTATCGTAAAACAAACATACTAAATTAATTAACATAAATAACATTGTAAATGAATAATAATTTAAAGAGAAACATACATATTCAAATATTTGAAATTAATAAAATTCATTTTGTACACATAAAAATAAATCGTATTGGTTGTTTGGTAAATAATTTAATCGTATTGGTTGTTTTAGATAATTTAATCGAATACAGAGCAACACTCGTTAGACTCTTAGAAGAGGTATACATTTTCTTAGAAACGCAGTCTTTTTGACAGAAAAAGGGGGGATCCGAGGATCTCTTAATACCCGATTTTTCCAAGGAATAAGAGGATATGATAATCGCTTAAAACCCCATTTGAAATTAATAAAATTCATTTTGTACACATAAAAATAAATCGTATCGGTTGTTTGGTAAATAATTTAATCGTATTGGTTGTTTTAGATAATTTAATCAAATACAGAGCAACACTCGTTAGACTCTTAGAAGAGGTATACATTTTCTTAGAGACGCAGTCTTTTTGACAGAAAAAGGGGGGATCCGAGGATCTCTTAATACTCGATTTTCCCAGGGAATGAGAGGATATGATAATCGCTTAAAACCCCATTTCCTTAGACGTGCATCTCTTTATAAAGAGTCGAAGTAAGTGGCGCTATGTATTCGATTAAATTATTGAAAACAACCAACACGATTAAAAATTCAACATAAATTTATTTTATATTCCACTAAATACATTAGCAAAATAAAAGAAAGACAAATGATGAAGAATTGTATGTACCGGGTGATCGTTCCAAACATCCCTTGACCGATGGTTGAGTTGGTCGTACAAGTCGGTTGGATCCAACGGTCCTTGCTCGAGATAATACCGTTTGTTGTATATATCCACGTCGTCCCCAACCTACGAGAAAATAACAACGAGGTTAGTACATAGATTAATTAAAAAGCTTATAACAACAACAAAAATTAAACCAGAATAATGAGTATGTACCGCTAGAAATTCATCAACATAAACTCCCTCTCCTTGCCACCACTCGCTCATTTTTTCGGGAAATTCGGACAGAGATTCGACTCGGCTCGGTGGGTTTTGAGTAAAAAACCAAAGAAATGTTTTCTTATGGCAGATCGGACTTAGCCGCAACCAACAGACCACTATTTCCTAGGCTTTTGGAAGGGGAGGGTTTAGAGAGATAAATTCTAGAGAGAGAAGAAAGAATGGGTTGTGATGTGAAGAAATGAGAGGGGAAGGGGGGGGGGGTATTTATAGTTCTCAGACCGCACCCTTCAGGGGCGGTCTGGTAATTTTACCCCTAGCAAAACCGCTCCCTTACGATGCGGTCTACTTTCCCGAGGTGCTGACCGCATCCTGCAAGTGCGGTCTGAGGCTCCACTACGCGGAGTGCTGAGGTGGCGTGCGGTCCGCCCTTGGATCGCAGCCCCATCCGACGGTCTCCAACCCCGCTGCCCAGAAAACACAAACCACACTCGGATGATGCGGTGCGTTTGCTGACGTGGATTTATAGTTAAAACGCATCGTCCTGCTGCGGTTTATTTATAAAACGCACCTTGGAGGTGCGGTTTGATTTAAAATGTGTTATTTTTGTAAATATTTTCGTCTGGGTGCTAGTTTTGTAATTTTTTTAAAAAAAAGATGCTATTATTGGAAAAATCCCAGTTATAGAGAGTTATAACTTATAAGGCTTTGTTTTGAAAAAAATTTAATTTCCAAATATACATTTAATAAAATATAGGCGAGACTGCAATGTCGATTTTTATTGTTGGTCGGAAGGCAACTGAAGTAGTAGTGTAGTACTGGGGTATCTTGAAGCTGAGTTTTTACCATAGGACATTAATCAAGCTCTACTTGGCTTAATTCCCAAGGTTAAAACGTCCTTACAACCTAAGGATTTTCAGCCAATGAGTTTGTGTAGTACAATCTTGTTAATTGACTTGAAAGAATTCTCAATGACCTAATTAGAAGAAACAAAGTTATTTTGTCCCTGGAAATGCAAGGTTCATCACGATTATCATTACTACTTTTGAATTGGTCAAATATTTGAAGGAACGTAACTAAAGGAAAA